ATTAAAATCTTCAAGGAGTAAAATATTTGGTGTGGGATTTTCTAGCCTATCCGCATAGCTATCTATCTTAGCTGATTTGTGAATGCCTCAGCAGTTGCTGATGGTGGTTTGTATACTAGGATAATTTCCAAATTCCTATTTTCAACTTTAATGCCTAGAATTTCTACTATATCATTCATTGCACTTCTGTGCAACAGAAAGTATCCTTTACATAGATCCCTACTCCTCCCTGTGACCTATTAATTCTATCACATATATACTTACGTGTTGTAGTTTTCTATCTTTATCTCTCCGTCCAAAACATCCCTTGTATGTGTTTCTGTAAATGCGCCAAACATGGCATTCGCTTCTGTTAGGAGCCCACTGACATAGCTAACTTTGTCATTTTTATTTGATTTCAAACCCTGAATATTTGCAAATGTGAAGCATCGCCGCGTTCCTTTTATATGGTGGTCTGGGCAGCTCAGATCATAACATTCTCTGGACTATGTTGAAGCTTTACACATTACTGGATGGAAGTACCTACTGCACTCTTTGTTGAAGCTACACTTTCCCTTCCTCAACATGTTGGCACATTTTCTAGTGTGTTTATTCCATCAGTCTCTGCCATATAGGCACATACCTTTTGCATAGTATCTGCAAATGTTCTGGCTACCTATATTTACTGATTTTGAGTCCCCAAGTTCTGCCACCTGATCCGAGTTCTCTTGCTTACTTTCTTCTAGGCTAAATTTCTTCCCTTTTCTCGTTTTCGTTTGTTCCTGCTCTAGCTTTCTCTTCCACCCTTTCCCTTTCTGCTATGTTATGTATCCCTGCTTCATTCTTTTCCGACTTGCTCTGTGTGACGTTTCCCACTCTTATATCCACTCTGATATATAGATATTTTGTAGAAAGTGACCTGGTAAAGTTATACACACACACACACACACACACACACACACACACACACACACACACACACACAAAACACACACACGTGACGAGGTGTCAGAGTGGGCGCCTGTGACAAGCGGGGTTCCACAGGGGTCAGTCCTAGGACCTGTGGTGTTTTTGGTATATGTGAATGACATAACGGAAGGGATAGACTCAGAAGTGTCCTTGTTTGCAGATGATGTGAAGTTAATGAGAATCAAATCGGTCGAGGATCAGGCAGGACTACAATGAGACCTGGACAGGCTATAAGCCTGGTCCAGCAACTGGCTCCTTGAATTTAACCCTGCCAAATGCAAAGTCATGAAGATTGGGGAAGGACAAAGAAGACCGCAAACACAGTATAGTCTAGGTGGCCAAAGACTGCAAACCTCACTCAAGGAAAAAGATCTTGGGGTGAGTATAACACCAAGCACATTTCCTGAGGCGCACATCAATCAGATAACTGCTGCAGCGTACGGGCGTCTGGCAAACCTAAGGATAGCGTTCCGATACCTCAGTAAGGAATCGTTCAAGACAAATAGGTGAGCACACACACACACACACACACACACACGCACTACGAAGAAAGGTTGAGAGAAATTGCCTTATGACACTGGAGTACAGGAGGGTCGGGGAGACATGATAACGACATACAAATGCTGTGTGGAATACATAAGGTGGACAGAAACAGGATGTTCCAGAGATGGGACGCAGAAACAAGGGGTCACAATTGGAAGTTGAAGACTCAGATGAGTCTAAGGGATGTTAGGAAGTATTTCTTCAGCCACAGAGTTGGTAGGAAGTGGAATAGCCTGGCAAGTGATGTAGTGGAGGCAGGAATCATACATAGTTTTAAGATGAGGTATGATAAAGCTCATGGAGCAGGGAGAGGGAGGACCCAGTAGCAGTCAGTGAAAAAGTGGGACCTGGAGCTGAGTCTCGATCCCTGCAACCACAAATAGGTGAGTACAAATAGGTGCGTACGCACATAAACACATCAACCCCTGCAACCTCAACTAGGTGAGTACACGCACGTCATATTGGAGTATGCAGCACCAGTATGGAATCCACACCTGGTCAAACACGTCAAGAAATTAGAGAAAGTGCAAAGGTTTTCAAGAAGACTAGTCCCAAAGCTAAAGGGTTTGTCCCACGAGGAGAGGTTAAGGCAACTTAGCCTGACGACACTGGACTATAGGAGGGATAGGGGGGACATGATAATGACGTATAAAATACTGAAAAGAATTGACAAGGTGGACAGGCCAGAATGTTTCGGAGATGGGACAAAGGAATAAAGGGACACAACTGGAGTTGAAAGCTAAGGCCTTAGTTGTCACGAAGGGGAACAATCTGGAAAGTGAAATAGCAGATGCAAGATTCATACAGAGATGTGTGATAAGGCTCTTAGAGCAGGGACAGAGTGACCTAGTGGCAGTAAGTGAAGAAGAGGGGCTAAGAGCTGTGAATCGACCCCTGCAACCACATATAGGTGAACACACACACACACACACACACACACACACACACACACACACACACACACACACACACACACATGTTAGTGAGACAGGAGAGAGGGTGGATGGATTGCAAGAAGGTATTTGACACTGTACCCCACATGAGACTGGGGAAAAGCTTAAAAGGCATGCAGGAATAAGTGGGAACATCCTCCAGTAGATCTAGGAGGACCTTAAAATGTGGCAGCAGTGAGTGATTGTCCTGGAAGAGATGTCAAAATGGGGAAGAGTAACAAGAGGTGTATCACAGGAATTGGTATTAGGACCAGTACTGTTTCTGGTTTATATGAATGACATGCTAGATGGAACTGAGTTGGATGTACAGTATCTATTCACTGATTATGTACAACTAATGCAGAGAATACAGACGGATGAAGATTGGGGAAGGATGTAAAAGGATCTGGACAAACTGCAGGGTTGATCAGATAAGTGGTTGCTGGAATTCAACCCCAGAAAATGCAATGTTAGGAAAACTGGGGAAGGGACCAGAAGACTGGACACAGAGTATGAACTTTGGGGACAGAGGCAGGAAACCTCATAGTGCCTATCACATCACCAGAGGCTCACATCATGTGAATGATCTTTGCAGTCAATGCTTGTTTGGTAAATCTGAGAGATTCCTAAAGAATATCTTCAAAGAGTCATTCTGGATGCTTTATGCAACATATTTTTGGACCATTTTGGAGTACAGAGCACCAGTATGGAACTCATACCTGAGGAAACATGTTAAGAAACTAAAGAAACTGCAGAAGTATGCAACGAGACTAGTTCTAGAATTGTGGGGCATGAGCTGTGAGGAAAGGCTAAAGGACTGAAGGAAGACTGAAGGACCAGAAGAGACATGAAAATAACTTACAAAATACTCAGAATTGATAGAGTAAAGAGGGACAGGTTGTTTTGAGAGGCGAGATATTGGTACTCGGGACCAAGCTGAGAATTAAAAACTCAGAAGCACAAGGATGTCTGGAAATATTTCTTAAACCTCTGAATGGTCAGGAGGAGGAATGATATTGAATGGTTTTAAACAGTAGGCATAATAGGGACCACCAGGCCAGGAGGGAGGGAGTGTGACATGTGGCAAGTTGAGAGTTTTAGCCAGGCAGGGTAGCTGCCCACTTCCTCACCCAAGTTGGATTTTTTAGTTTAATAAACCTGGACCTGACCTGGTACCTTAATTCAAAAGCTATTATTTATAATAGTTTTGATACAAGGATTTATACAGGGTAGTAATTTAGCTTTTATTCTTATATTGATGTTTTGTATAGGTTGGTCAAAAAAACAGTATTTTAAAAAAAATAAGTATTGTGCTGTTACTGTTAGTGTATACATTAATACTGTGCAGCATAATTTGAAGTAAATAATTAATGGAATGTAGATTAATGGCAGGGATGTTGCAGGTGTAAAACATTCTGGCAAACTGCAGCTCTAATACTTTCTTTTTGAGTTCAGTAGTTTTGTGCATAAATCTGTTTACTTTTCTATACTAAAGTACATACGGCGATGGATTCAACAGAGCATTAGAGAATGAACTTGCACTTCTCTTCAACTTGAATGGTGGTGAAGGCTGGCTTTTAGAAGTCCCTGGCACACTGGTTTTATTGGGTATATTTATATCATCTTCATCTTCCTTAAGGTGCTGATTATTTCAGTAGGGTTTCATAGCAAATTCATTAAATTTTTTCAAGTGTTCTCAGAGTCCTTTAATATATGAGCACATTGTCTCTGTTTCCGTTTATTTCCCGTGTCATTTGTTTCTCTCATTTCCTTGCAGTGTATAGATTTATATCTGCCTGTACTTGTCATCAAGCTAATGTGACGACACAGTCACTGACACAAACTGACTGTCTAATTGTTCCCTTCTGAGTGGAGTATTTATGCTTTATTGGTTTAACAAGTCTAAACATGAATGTTCACTCTGGATTTCATCATCTTTTGTGCAGCATGTCTCATCATACAATATTATGTACATTGTACAATGGGGTTATTGTCAAAATAAATTCAGTGTTTATGGATTTACTACTTGGAATCTAAATTTTATTATCTAACATATCCTAACATGTTAGATGATTTGTAGAGCATAACATCAACATTATTTTAATTATAATTCAACACACATCAATATTGTTATAATAAGACTTATAGTGTAGTACAATACTAATTGTAGAAGGCATATGAAAGTACAGTACAGAAGTGCACACTCCACAGTGCACAGTATTGCACAGATCAGGAAGAATGTACACATATATCAGAATAATTCTATTAATATGTAAATAATAAAATAATAATCCATTGTAAAAGCATTTTATTAAGTAGAAAACAATATAAAAACATGAAGTAATGAAAATAAAGAAAAGGGACTTGTCAAAAACCTCCAGGTTTTATTGTAAAGTTTTTTATACAAAATACCCAGGTGGACTGGGTTTAAAATTTAAAAAAAAAAAGGGGCCAGGAGCTGAGACTCAATCTCTGCAACCACAAATAGATGAGAAGAAATACTAGGTGAACACATGCACATATATGGTGTATATATACGTAAATAATTTGTGTGTAATCTCTTCATATATTTTTCAGGTGTCTATCGTGCAAAGATTAAAGTTTTAAAGCTCTGGAATCAAGAATACACCGATAAAACAGGAGCAGCCTTTACGTCTTTGAAACGGGATATAAGAAGTGCTATGGAGGTTGTACTGAGGAGTGTCCGAGGTACTACTGACATCCAGGTGGTTGATATGAAGTAAGTATGCAGATATTTTTACTTGTAACTTTTTTTTTTCACAAAACACATTCACCAGTGGAAACTAAATTTTGTTATGACTTAAAAGGGGCACAATGAACATAGCCCTTCTCTGGTAACAACAGATAGGTAACTACACTTCTCCTAAAAGTAATTTTTTTTGCACAATTTTCTTTTAGGAACTCCTATTGCTATTCTTATTATATTCATGAGAAGAACTAAATCCATATGGGTTATGAAGGTCATGGGGAATGAGGTGTTCTGGTTAGATTCAAGAAAGAGGAGAATAGCTCTAATTCTGTAGGTTAAAAGCCCTTTGCCAGCATGAAGGCAACCTTCCCTAGAGTATACCTGGAGGGTGTTTTGGGGATCAATGTCCCCACAGCTTGGTCAATGACCAGGCCTTGTGGGGGGGAGGGGGGAGGATCAGGGCCTGATCACCCAGGCTGTAACTGCTGGTTGCACACAAATCAACATATGAACCACAGCCCTGCTGGTCAGGTACTGACCTTAGGTGTCTATCCAGCTCCCTCTTGAAGACGGCCAGGGGTCTATTGGTAATCTCCCTTATGTATGCTAGGAGGCAGTTGAACAGTCTGGGCTGCTGACACTTATTGTGTTGTCTCTTAATTTTACTCATGGCATCCCTGGTTTTCAGTGAGAGGATGTTGCACCACCTGCTGAGTGTTTTACTTTTGTAGGGAGTGATTTCCATGTGCATACCTGGAGTATACCTGGAGAGGGTTTTGGGGGTCAACGCCCCCGCTGCCCAGTCTGTGACCAGGCCTCATGGTGGATCAGGGCCTGATCAATCAGGCTGTTGCTGTTGGCCACACAACCTGATGTATGAACCACAGCCTGGCTGGTCAAGTACTGACTTTAGGTGTCTGTCCAGCACCTTCTTGAAGACAGCCAGGGGTCTATTGGTAATCCTCCTTATGTATGCTGGAAGGCAGTTGAACAGTCTTGGGCCCCTGACACTTATTGTGTTTTCTCTTATTGTGCTAGTGGCACCCATGCTTTTCATTAGGACTAGTCCCTTTAGGATTTTCCAAGTGTATATTATCATGTATCTTTCTCGCCTGCATTTCAAGGAGTACAGGTCAAGGGGCTTCAACTGTTCCCAGTAATTTAGGTGTAATTTTGCTTGCTTTGAAAGAGGCTGTTAATGTACAGCACTATTCCAGCCTAGAGAGAGCAAGCAATTTAAAGAGAATCATTATTGACTTGACATCCCTGGTTTTGAAGGTTCTCATTATCCATCTTATCATTTTCCTAGCAAATGTGTTAGATACATTGTTGTGATCTTTGACAGGGAGATTCTCTGACATTATTACTCCCAGGTCCTTCATATTAGTTTTTCGCTTCAGTGTATAATTGGAATTTGTTTTATTCTCCAGTCCAGTTTTTATTCCCTCAAGTTTTTCATAGAAGAGTAATTGAAATTTGTCTTCATTGATGTTCATATTGTTTTCTGAGGCCCATTTTAAAGCCTTGGTTAATGTCCACTTGGAGATTTGCAGTGTTCTCAGTGGATGACACTGTCATGTAAATTTTGGTATTGCCAGCAAAGGATGACACAGTGCTGTGGCTTACATCTCTGTTTATGTCAGTTATGAAGATGAGGAAAAGGATGGGAATGAGTTTTCTATCTTGTGGAACAGAGCTTTTCACTGTAACTGCCTCTGACTTTATTCTGTTTACTATTACTCTTTGTTCTCCTTGTTAGGAAGTTATAAATCCATCTACCCACTTTTCCTGCTATTCCTTTATCATGCATTTTGTGTGCTATTACGCCATTCAAAATTCAAATTCAAATTTTTATTTCTTTGCAAAGTTTACAATGTGTGACTGACATGTTATAAGGAGTCTATTTCCCTTGATCACACTTGTTGAAGTCTTTCACAAAGGATGGGTATCTGAGGTGAAATCCTTCCAGAATGCTAGTAAGTTTTTGTGGAATTTCAGTAAGAAGTGGTTGTGACAATTTAACCTAAGTGCAAAATATGATTTGGACAGAGATCAGTGTGCACAAAATACATATTTTTCTGAGAAATTTTTGATCTAAGAAAACATAAAGTGTGTTTATAGTCAGCAAATGTTCTGTCTCTCTCTGTCTCTCTCTGTCTCTGTCTCTCTCTGTCTCTCTCTGTCTCTCTCTCTCTCTCTGTCTCTCTCTGTCTCTCTCTGTCTCTCTCTGTCTCTCTCTGTCTCTCTCTCTGTCTCTCTCTGTCTTCTCTGTCTCTCTGTCTCTCTCTCTGTCTCTCTCTCTGTCTCTCTCTCTGTCTCTCTCTCTGTCTCTCTCTCTGTCTCTCTCTCTGTCTCTCTCTCTGTCTCTCTCTCTGTCTCTCTCTCTGTCTCTCTCTCTGTCTCTCTCTCTGTCTCTCTCTCTCTCTCTCTCTCTCTCTCTCTCTCTCTCTCCTCTCTCTCCTCTCTCTCTCTCTCTCTTCTCCTCTCTCTCTCTCTCTCTCTCTCTCTCTTTTCTCTTTCTTCAAACATACATGCATTTATACATACATATATAACATAAGATCATAAAAAAGGAGGAACACTGCAGTAAGCCTCTTGGCCCATACTAGGCAGGTACACACTTACATAAATAAGATACATGTACTGTATTATGTACCATTTTTCACTTAAATTAAAAAAAAAAACTGAGCTTGTGCCATTTAAATATAATTTTTCCATTATTTCGTTTTTGTAGAGTAAACCATGAAGCCCTTTGTAAAACTGTAATCAATTTATACATTTCTAATTATTTTATTATTATTTTCAGGAAAACTGCATCAAATAACATTCTAGTGACAGTAGACATCACAAATGAATGGGATAGTAACCAAAGGGCACTGATTGAAAAGTTAGTGAAGGACACTGTAGCATCTGCTGTCCTTGGTGCCATCCCAGTTAGCAGTCAGGAATTTGTCTTCACTGAACCTACAGGTATAATCCAGTTGTCACCTTTCTTTTCTTTTACAAACCTCTTGGTCTCTGTGATTTTATTTTTTGAGCTTAATGTTGCTTTTGCTCACACATTAGTCTTTTTTATTTGGTAAATGTATAGGGTTTTTCTCTTTTGTAGTCTATTAAATAGCTAGTGCCATTGCCTTTTCTTGCTTGCATTTATTTAAATACATCTTTGGTTAATATATGTGGGCTATTTGTGTTGTCTGACATGCTTGTGCGATTTTGTCTTTGGTTTAAGCTGCTCCAGTTGCTCGTGACTGTGGGCCTGGACAATGGAAGTGCCCTTCTGGTCGCTGTGTTGCTCACTGTGATGGTGTTAATGAATGTCTTGATGCATCTGATGAATATAATTGTCCACGCCCCATCCCAAGACGTAAGTTTACTATCTTCTTTTTTTGCTTCATTTTATGTAAGATGACAATGTACAGTACTGCATCTTTTTTGTGGCTTTGAATTTAGTCTCTTTCTGCTAATAAAAGTAATTTTCATGATTTTAATTTGTATCTTTTCATAAAAATACTTGATATGAGGATGTATTGTTTTATATACAGGATTTTTTTTTTACATTTATATACAGTATATTAAATTGAACAAACTATCTTTCTATAAATGTATTGTACTAATATTCATAGCAAAGACATTTCTTCCTGTATTAGTGTATAAAATTAATGCAATTCTTAGCAATGATTTTTTGACTGTAGATGCTGATCAACTTACTGTTGTAGAATCATAGCAGAGAAAGTACATAGGAATGTAAGTGTTTGTAATGAGTGTTTATTAAAATGTTCCATTCTCCAATAAAAAGTGTACTGGTAATACTTTGTATATTGATTATGTTAATGTGTAGTTTAGGCAAGAGCAATATAAGACATATTAAGAAGATATTAGTAAAATCTTTCTGAAAGGTAAGCTCCAGTAGGGTAGGTAGATAGGTCGAAGAAAATTAAATTAAAATAGTTTGATGTGTTGCAAGGTGGTATATACAGTGCTGTATATACAGTGCTGTTTTATTGAAATGTAATGTATTGTGTTTTTCAATGAACTGGCTGTATCCCTTTGAGGCAGGGTGACCTAAAAAAAAAACGAAAGTTTTTCTTTTTAAATTTAATAATTGATACAGGAGAAGGGGTTACTATCCCCTTTCTCCCAGCACATACTTTATTGTATCTGAACAAAATAGAAAATATTTTTGTTAATTCAAGTTGTCTGTTTACCCAGTGGCTAATATTCTCTATGTTGGTGCCCTGTCTTATGTTCATCGTACAGTGTTGTTCACTGAGGCCTTTTCTGGTTTCTTGCTTTTTTTCACCAAAATGGTAACAAATATGAAAATGTAGTTTTTCTGCATATAAGAGTAGAACTAATAGGTTTTATACAGCTTCACAGTTGTCTAATCTATGCAGCCTGAACATGTGCACCTCTGGTGGCCTGTAACACATCTAATTGATGATTGAGCTCCCTCTACATGTTGGCCAGTGTGTCCAGTGTTATGCTTCAGATGCCAGTGTTTATTGTAGTATGGATTGTTTTAATTTCAGATGCTGGTATTGGGTAGAAATGTTGATCATATTTCCTTAAAAGGAAACACTTTCACCATCACTCACACTATTACTGTCTTGCCAGAGGTGTGCTGATGTTACAGTTCACATGGCTCTCCAAACTGCACATATCCCCACCCCTTCTTCGGAGTGCAGGCACTGCACTTCTAACCTCCAGGACTCAAGTCCAGCTAACCAATTTCCCTGAATCCATTCACAAATGTTGACAAATGTTATATATATTATATATAATTATATACATTATATAGGAGCAAATGGCTAGTAATCCCTTCTCCTGTATACATCACTAATGTTAAAAAGAGAAACTTTTGTTTTTCCTTTTGGGCTACCCTGCCTTGGTGGGATATGGCCAATTTGTTGAAAGAAGAGAGAAGATATAGTACATTATATATGTAAAGGTAGAAAGTTGAAAGTGAATAGAAAAGAGTAAGGTGATGAGGATATCAAATGATTTAGATAAAGAAAAATTGGATATCAAATTGGGGAGGAGTATGGAAGAAGTGAATGTTTTCAGATATTTGGGAGTTGACCTGTCGGCGGATGGATTTATGAAGGATGAGGTTAATCATAGAATTGATGAGGGGAAAAAAGGCGAGTGGTGCATTGAGGTATATGTGGAGTCAAAAAACATTATCTATGGAGGCAAAGAAGGGACTGTATGAAAGTATAGTAGTACCAACACTCTTATATGGTTGTGAATGCAGCAGCGAGGAGGCAGTTGGAGGCAGTGGAGATGTCCTGTCTAAGGGCAATGTGTGGTGTAAATATTATGCAGAAAATTCGGAGTGTGGAAATTAGGACAAGGTGTGGAGTTAATAAAAGTATTAGTGAGAGGGCTGAAGAGGGGTTGTTGAGGTTTGGTCATTTAGAGAGAATGGATCAAATAACATGGAGAGCATATAAATGTCAAAGAGACATTCGGGTGTGTGTTGGTAATCCTTTATGCAGGTACAACATAATGAATGCTCCTAGCTGCAAAGAGACAAAACACACAAATCAGGATGCACAACCTGACGTTGTGAGTACACGTTGTACCTCCCTAGCCCTGATGGATCGTTGACTGGCACAGTGTGGACGGAAATCTACAGTGGGTGTGCATTGCCTTCCCCGGCAGAATACGTGACTATTAACTTACGTATTAGGGAGATAATATGTGTTCCGTCGGCCTCACGCTCTCTTTGTTTATACTCGCGTTTCTCCGCCTCACGCTCTTTGTTTACACTTGCGTTTCTCCGCCCTACCTACAGGCGGCGCACCGGTGCCGTCAACCCGCCGAATTTGACTCACTCTGTGTCACCCCATCTCCATCCCACAAAGGAAGGTGTGGTAGGGGTCATCCTCGAAAAGGTTGGAAGGAAGGGGTAAGAGAGGTTTTGTGGGCAAGGGGCTTGGACTTCCAGCAGGCGTGTGTGAGCGTGTTCGATAGGAGTGAATGGAGACGAATGGTATTTGGGACTTGACGAGCTGTTGGAGTGTGAGCAGGGTAATATTTAGTGAAGGAGGGGTTAGGGATATTGGCAGTTTGGAGGGATATGTTGTGTATCTTTATACGTATATGCTTCTAAACTGTTGTGTTCTGAGCACCTCTGCAAAAACAGTGATAATGTGTGAGTGAAGTAAAAGTGTTGAATGATGAAAGTATTTTCTTTTTGGGGATTTTCTTTCTTTTTGGGTCACCCTGCCTCGGTGGGAGATGGCCGACTTGTTAAAAAAAAAAAATGGGAAAGTGGAACAGAATTCTTCCTCCGTAAGCCATGTGTGTCGTAAGAGGTGACTAAAATTCCTCTTCTCCTGTATACATTACTAAAGTTAAAAAGAGAAACTATTGCTTTTTCTTTTTGGGCCACCCTGCTTGGGTGGGATATGGCCAGTCTGTTGAAAGAAGATGAATTATATGTATATATTAAATATAATTATATATTTTATATATTATATATATTACATAGATAAGAATAAGGTGATGAGGGTATCAAACAATTTAGATAAAGAAAAATAGGATATCACATTGGAAAGGAGTAGTATGGAAGAAGTGAATGTTTTCAGATATTTTCAGATATTTGGGAGTTGACTTGTCAGTGGATGGGTTTATGAGGGATGAGGTTAACCATGGAATTGATGAAGGAAAAAAGATGAGTGGTGTGTTGAGGTATCTGTGGAGACATAAAACATTATCTATGGAGGCAAAGAAGGGAATGTATGAAAGTATAGTGATAACAACACACTTATATGGGTGTGAAGCTTGGGTTGTAAAGGCTGCAGCAAGGAGGTGGTTGGTCGCAGTGGAAATGTCCTGTCTAAGGGTAATGTGTGTGGTGTAAATATTATGCAGAGAAATCGGAGTGTGGAATTAAGTGGTGTGGAGTTACTAAAAGTATTAGCCAGAGGGCTAAAGAGGGGTTGTTGAGGTGGTTTGGTCATTTAGAGAGAATGGATCAAAGTAGAATGACTTGGAGAGCGAGTAAATCTGTAGGGGAAGGAAGGAGGGTTTGGGATCGTCCTCGTAAAGGTTGGAGGGAGGGGGTAAAGGAGGTTTTGTGGGCGAGGCGCTTGGACTTCCAGCAAGCATGTGTGAGCGTGTTAGGTGTGAATGGAGAAGAATGGTTTTTGTGACATGACAAGCTGTTGGAGTGTGAGCAGGGTAATATTTTGTGAAGGGATTCAGGGAAACCAGTTTGCCAGACTCGAGTCCTGGAAATTTGGAGTACAGTGCCTGCACTTTAGAAGAGGAGTTTGGCATATTTGTTGTTAGTGACATCTGAACTGTCATATCTGCATGCCTCTGGAAAGACAGTGATTGTGTTTATGATGGTGAAAATATTGAATGATGGTGAAAGTGGTCTCAGACCAGGCTGTGGGGGTGTTGACCCTTGAAACCCTCTCCAGGTATACTCCAGGTATTCTTTTTTGGGTCATCCTGCCTCAGTGGGAGATGGCTGATGTGTTGAAAAAAAAAAATGTATTGGTCTGAGATGTGCTCAAGTGATGTCGGATTATGTTACATACTTATTTATTCAGAGCAGTTTCCATTAACTTCTGGTAGTAAATAGATACTTAATGTGATGAAGTCTTCACTGGTACAACATTTCACCCACAAGAAAGCTTATCAGATGTACCAATTAATACTTGAATGTATTAAGTATCTGTGCCACTTGCTGGCATTATGCTTTTATTTAGTAAATCTGTACATATATATGCCATACAAACTTATATTAGTTACCAAAAAAGTGAAAAAACCTTTAACTTAACTTAACCTCATGAAAATTTTCTTTTAGGTCTACTGTATTGATGATTCATTTCATGTTTTCTGTTTTCTATTTTCTTAACAGTATTTTGTTAATCATTTGTATATAGTAAACTCTCAATATGACAAGACCTTGATATGATGGACTTTTAAAATAAAGGGAAAATCCACTGTAAATTTTGTGTATAATATTGTAGTAGGTATAGTATACTGTAGAGTACCTAAGGTCTTTTTTTTTTCTACTTGTGACATTATTCTGATTTAATGGACACTTGAACAATTTTCCTATTAGTGCATTATATTAAGGCTTTACTCAAGCATACACTTGAGAAAAACTATTATAAATAATTTAAATATGGTGGAACATTTTGAGAGTTAGAAAAATCAGTGTAGTATATATGCCTAGAATTTTAAGAGCTGTGCTTTAGTTGTAGTTTTTCATGTCTTAAGTACTGTACATCAAGATTTTTTAAAACAGGAAATTATTTTTTATATTAGGGGTAATCCCATATCACTGTGTAAGATGGAGGCAAGAAATTTTCATCTAATTAGGTTTGTAATTTTGTTTAAGCTATTATTGCTGTTGTTGTTGTTGTTATTGGTCTACTTCTTGTGATGGATGTAATGTTGCTTTGTAGGCATTTTCCACTTCTTCTGTATTTCAACTTTTTACTAACAAATTTAAGATTGGAATGGTTTTTAAGACACTATAATTTATAAAACTTGCTGTTCTTGTGATCTTAAATATGCTTTTATTTTTGGGGGCTTTACCTGTGTTATCCTTTATTAATAAAGTATTCTGTATACATAGTTACACTTGTTTTCATGTGTTCATATTTATTATCTTTGAAATTTCTGAAATAAATTTATTTTATTTTCTTACAGTAAAACATTATTTTGCAGTTGCATGTTGAATTTTTATTACTCTTGTATATTTAATTTTACATAACTGCATGCATAAGGTATATTTGAAGGCTGTGAAGTTATTTCCTTTTGCTTTTAATATAAAGTATGAAAAAGAAATATCCTAGTATTATATGACTGTAATTTCTTAGCTTGCTGTTATCAAAAATATTAATATATTTAAAAAGCTAGTACATTAACAGGAGTAATTACATAGAATAACAATATTCTGTATTTGATATCATTTGTAGTATGCTGCTTAATTATGCTTGAGGGTAGCACAAGTCAAGTGAGATATTTTCATGTGTAAGTTTGCTGTTAATGTGAAATGGGTTATAGAGATTTTAAAAGCAATTTATAAATTATGTAGATAGTGCAGGATTTGAAAATTAACTTATAAGGGTAAACAATAAAAAGTACAGTATATAGAGGAAATTATTAATGCCAGAAAAAAGTCTTCAGTATGATAAACGGAGAAGTTAGCCAACCACAGTACTGATAGAATTATTTATATGTAGCCCCATAGGAAAAGTCCAGTGTTAAGATAATGTATGGTATAAACCTTGGTAATAAATACCGACAAGTTGGTTTAGAAAGACACATAAGCAAACACTATGACATATTTATTAGAAAACGTTTCGGTCCTGGGACCTTGATCACTTGATCAAGGTCCCAGGACTGAAACGTTTTCTAATAAATGTCATAGTGTTTGCTTACGTGTCTTTCTAAACCAAGATAATGTATATAAATCATTGTGGTACATGAGAGAGTCAGGGATTAATGTGAAAGCAAGATGTCTCCCAGTGTACTTGTTTCTTAAATCAAGTCAGATTAGTCAATAAATGTGTAAGGTTAACTTGGATTTTCTCTTGATTTGTGCTACTCTTAGTATTTCATAGTTGACTTGCATGATAATACTTGCATGATAATACTTGCATGACTGCAGAATCACCTGACCAGGATGGTTGCCGTGGCGATGACCAGTTTACTTGTGAGGATAACTCTGTCATTTGTGAAGTACAACGCTGTGATGGTAAACAAGACTGTCCAAATGGAGATGATGAAGAAGGCTGTGGTAGGTTTCTCAGGCTACCTTGTATGTCATATATCTCTTCATACTCATTTACAACCATTACACACTTCATTCATGAAATTTACATTTTATTGATATATCATGGCTCATTATGTCAACAGATACCACAGTTAACAATATAATGAGCTAAGTACACTAAAATATATATTTTCCTTAGTAGCATAATTTGTAATATTCTGCTAGCAACAGATTTATGTTAATTTAGTCCATATTTAAAATTCAGTACAGCCTCTCCTCACATAGTGACGTACTCGTTTACCAATGACTCAGACTTATGACAGGCTCTCTGACCAGTATGCATACCTAAATAATGTATATTAGAGCTGATTTTCTCTATTCTGCTTATTACATTATACAGTACACTACTGTATAAACATTTAAAAATATACCAGAAATGTTATAAATGGTGTAAAGGTGACATTAAAACAATATGAAAGATGGTTGACCCAAGCCCACTACCATTACAATATACTCTTCACTTAACGACAAATTCGTTTACCAATGTGATCCTAGGAATGGAACTCAGTCGTTAAGTGGGGAGAGGCTGTATTGTATTCAGATTACTAGTGTGTATTTTTCCTGCAGATAATTAAGAGTATGTTAATTCTTAAAAGTTTCATTGGCTGCACAGCAGTATCTTTACATTTTAAATGATTATTGAACATTTTCAAAATTTTCCTTTATAATACAGTAGGCCTAATATTTTTATAATGCTCTTGTTATGCCTGCTTTGAGTATAAGAATAACATTGCATTGAATATCATTGTAAATAGCATGACTAACTATGATAAATTTTGATTTTTTAAATTTCTATTTTTCTTTTCTATAATACGTAGTCCTCCTGAGGGCAGTTCCTTTATGTACATTGTAGAGGGATTATAGTCTTTGTTATTGTTGTCATGCTGAGTGGGCTTCTGCATCCTTGGGATGACCATAATGTAAGAAGGATAAACTAAGCATTGCTCCATGTGTTAACCACGGATGATGACCTGTAAATTCCTTGTGTCTGGTTGCCTGGAGATTGAACCTGCCCATGGAGCTGCAGCCCTCGAGTGGGTGACATTCTTTGATGAGGGGATAGAGGTCAAATTGGAGGTTTGGTGCTGATTCCCACTTGCTGTTGGACAGTGTATTTGGCTAGGGTCATGTGAGCATCAGAGAGTGAACCATTTCATTCCTTTTTCTGCTACCAAATTCTGAGTTGGTCAGTTGCATATACCCCCCTATTAACCTTGGGGCTGCTTTAGTAAATGTGTAAGCCTTCCTTTGATGGACATCATGATGGGTGGAGGAATGGGGAGTTGGAGGTACTTATTGCTTTATGAGTTCATTAATGATTCCTCTGCAGTGTCTCTGATCACTGCTCTTTTTTTCCCCTACCTGTAAAGGTAGGGAAAAAAATACCTGATAGTATTTCTCTCACTCTGCAATCAAGACAACTACTGCTATTTCAGATTCTGTACCTGATACTTCCTGACCTCCTTTTCCCTATAATGATAAGAAGTCTCCACAATGGGTTCAGTTGTCTCTGGGTTGTATGTCAACACATCAACTCATATTTTTTACACTTCAGTCCAATGAAGCTTCTGAAGTTCTGTGTGATTATATAATTAGCAAGTAATCTTGACAGTAGTTGACCCTAGAATCATTTTCCATACCAATCAGGATGGATTACAGTACTTTCAGTGTGTGTGTGTTAATGATGATAATCAAGGAGACAGCCTAACAAAAGCACCAACTGGTCATGACAAACCTATTAATGTCCTCAGACATATCCTGGACCCTTGTTTTACATGTTACACTTCTGTTTTCTTTAATCACATATGCTGCCTCCTTTGATAAGTTATTATATATATTTGTTGCAACTCTTACTTTGGCTGCTAGAGGTATTATACCATGAACCCTGGGTAAGCATTTTCATAATTACATACCCTAATGCTCAGCATATCATACTAAGGCCATCCAACTCTAAGTGTAATGTGTGGAGTATAATTGTACTACTGCCCTCTGTTTGGATTTCAAATAAGCAAGAGCACATACTTGGCATGTCCTGAGACCAGCCAGGCACGTTGTTGCCGTGCTTATATTTCAAATTTTTAATGCCACCATTTCTATAAGTATGGAAAAAGGTATGAAAATTGGTGTGCAGATACCTGAATAGGTTCAGTTTTTCAACAGTGCAGGAGCAGAATTAATGGCTAATGCTATAGAATATCACTTTGCTCAAGCCTTTCATGGTCCACATTTGTCTCCTGACTTTCTTCAGTCTGAATCCATCTGGAAATCTAATGCTTTAGACTTCATCTCTTGTATAGATGAACAACATAGTGTTCCATTTACCACTCTTGAGCTGACACTAGCATTGTCAGAGTGTCAGCTTATGGCTGTTGTATGTGTTCTTATGCTTCAGAATTTACACTCCGACATTAAACTTATATTATCCCTTTTTCAGTAGGGATACACGTAGTCAGGTACACTAAGGTAAATTTATTTATTTATTCATATATATTTTGAATGGACTTAAGATGTGATTTAAAGAAATTAAACTTTTGTGACAATATTTTTTTGTTATATAAGTTTTGTAAAAGTAAAAATAATTGTTTATTTTGAAGGTTATTTTTATTCATTAATACATTTTATCCATGTTACATGTCTAATAGCTGTTATTTGTATTCAATATGTACTGGTTTTATAAAACTTTTCTTAGTATTTTTTGTGATGTCATCTGCTAGTGTGTGTTTATATGTACTTAAGTATAGTACTGTATTAATAAATGTTCTTGTTAATTAATGTAAATTTTCAAATATTCTATGTTGTTCATCTGTTGTCCATGAATATTTTTGTGCTTATGTATGAAAATATAATTACCTATTTTAATTTTTGGGCAGTGAGCCCTAGCTTTTGGTAATGTCTCTAAACTTTCAGGTAGTTTTTATAAAATGTATTAGATCCACTTTTGAACCCTGTATGTTGTTTGCTTGCATTTCTCAATGTCCAAATCATTCTGCTTCAACACATCGTTTAATATTTTTTTTTTTTTGTAAGTCATATGAGTGTGCAGTTTCCATCCATGTTTTTATGTTCAAAACACTTATCTGGTAAAATCTTTTCATTGTCTATATTGTCAGTGCTTTGTGATATTTTATATGCTGTAGTCACATCCTTCCTTTTTGTCCAGAGACACAAGGCTTAGTCCTTTCATTGTCTCATCAGTTTATTTCCCTAAACTCTGGCTTAATTCTGGATGTGATCTGTGCATCTTGAGATTTGTCTAGTGTTTGGCTAGAGGGCACCACACTGGTGACACATACACAAGAATTGGTCTAATGTATAAGAAAAATAAGCTTTTTTGAATGTGTTCTAAGGTTTTTAAATACTGCACCACTGTTTTATTCAAAGCTTTGGTATGCACTACAGATATTAATTTGTGTATACTTTGATGGGGGAAATGGTTATTCTTAGGTATTTTTTCATATGGTATTGTTTGCTTCTTTCTCCCATTTTCATTACCTTATTTTTACTTTTGCTGAACTTCACTAGCGATTCCTGTAAACTGTTCAGGTCCTGCATCCTTGTATCTTTCATTGTACCTTTCTTGTTATTCCAGCCTGTTTCTTCAATTTCCAAAATAGACCTCTGTGTGGCAAAGTATAAAAGACCTTACAAAATACAATGTGCAGTTCATTAGAGCCTTTCTCTCTCTCTGTTTCTTGTCTGATCTCTGTCTATCTTTTATGTCTTTGATATTTGTCAGAGATGACTTACTATTCCTAAATGCATGCTGTTGTGGCTAAAGGACTGCAAATATAAAATGCAGTAGGGCCCTACTTTTCGGCATTTTGCTTTATGGCATTCCGCTAATACGGACATTTCAAATTATGACCAAAACTTGCTGTACGGCTCTCCCCACCTGACTTTATAATATGGTCACCGCACCCCACCCGGTTTGTTTATATTCTCTGTGAGCTCCGTAAGCACCACATCTCTCCATTATGTCTGGAAACTCCAAAATTTCAAGTGTTTTTAGAAGTTATTTCATATTATATATATATATAATCACTGTTTTTGCAGAGGTGCTCGGAATACAAAAGCTTAGAAGCATATACATATAAAGATACACAACATATCCCTCCAAACTGCCAATATCCAAAACCCCTCCTTTAAAGTGCAGTCATTGTACCTCCCATTTCCAAAACTCAAGTCCCCCTATGTAAAAATAACCGGTTTCCCTTACTCCCTTCACTAAATATTACCCTGCTCACACTCCAACAGCTCGTCAGGTCCCAAATACCATTCGTCTCCATTCACTCCTATCTAACACGCTCACGCATGCTTGCTGGAAGTCCAAGCCCCTCGCCCACAAAACCTCCTTTACCCCCTCCCTCCAACCTTTTTGAGGATGACCCCTACCCTGCCTTCCTTCCCCTACAGATTTATACGCTCTCCATGTCATTCTACTTTGATCCATTTTCCTCTTGTCCCATCTACCTCTTACTCTAACTGTAGCTACAACTAAATAATGATCCGATATATCAGTTGCCCCTCTTTAAACATGTTCATCCTGGAGCCTACCCATCAACCTTTTATCCACCACTACATAATCTAACAAACTACTTTCATTATGTGCTATATCATACCTTGTATATTTATTTATCCTTTTTTTCATAAAATATGTATTACTTATTACTAAACCATTTTCATTTACCCCTGGCACCCCAAATTTACCTACTACTCCCTCCACAACATTTTTACCCACTTTAGCATTGAAATCCCCAACCATGAGTACTCTCACACTTGGTTCACTTGATTCAAAACTCCCCATGCATTCACTCAACATTTCCCCAAATCTCTCTCCTCTACACCTCTCTTTTCTCCAGGTGCATATACGCTTACTATAACCCACTGTTCACATCCAGCCTTTATTTTGCTCCACATAATCCTTGAATTAATACATTTATACTCCCTCTTTTCCTGCCATAGCTTATCCTTCAACATTATTGCTACTCCTTCTTTAGCTCTAACTTTATTTGAAACCCCTGACCTAATCCCATTTATTTGTTTCCACTGAAACTCTCCTACCCCCTTCAGCTTTGTTTCACTTAAAGCCAGGACATCCAGCTTCTTCTCATTCATAACATCCATAATCATCTCTTTCTTATCATTTGCACAACATCCATGCACATTCAGACATCTCACTTTGACAATTTTCTTCTTATTCTTTTTAGTAATCATTACAGGAAAAGGGGCTACTAGCCCATTGTTCCCAGTATATTTTATGTATACTCTGATAATTATACTTATGTATACCTGTACCTAAATAAACTTACACACTGTGCTGGCGTGCAGGTACACATTAAAATCAGTAAGTGTCTTATGTCTCAAGATCCCATATTAGTAGTAGTAATAATAATAATAATAATAACAATAATAATAATCACAGAGTCTCATTAAATAAATAAATAAAGTTTATTTCTTTGTAAAGGTTACAATGTGTAATTACAATTTTGATTTACTAAGTACAAAGATAGCCACTATCATGCCGAGGCATTTCGGGCAAACTAATCCTAATACATAGTAACTAATTAAATCTAGTTAAGATAATAATACATAGTAATTATACTTAAAGCTAAACCTGGAACAGTGGTTAGCTGTTTTACAATCTTATTTGAACTTAATAAATCTTATGTAAACTTAGTACAAAATCTAACTTGCAAGTAATGGTGCAGGTGGTAATATTTTATGGAATGGCAGAATTAAAAGCCAGGAGGTTACATGATAAGACTAATTAGCAGATGTTTTGGCAGGTTTGGTTAATATTGAGAAACAAAATGATTTTATGGATTAGCAGAATTAATATTACGAATATTACATTAATATTCACATTTTCATTAATCCATCTATGATTTTTTACAAAATTATATAATAAACACGATATGTAACACATAAACATGATAAATACACCCCACAGTAGGATAAATTAACATAAATATGAGATGTGGTAGCCAGATGACTTGTACGAGTGACGGCAAGAATAACTTTTTTCTCTAGTCCACATCAGAGAAAATGTGTTACTGGGGGTAACTGTAGAAAATTATTCCTTTTGTATGCCTTCACTCAGTCATTTTTTCTAAAAATGGTGTTACATGAGAATGGGAGTGTTCCTCTTTATTTATTCTACTGTATCAATGTAGAGACAACTTGTACACAAACCAGACATGTTTGCCTGGTTTGTTTACAAACTTCTGTATGCCTGGTTTGTTTACATAACTCTGCGAGTGTCCCCTCTCATGTACTCGTACACTCTCTCTCTCTCTCTCTCTCTCTCTCTCTCTCTCTCTCTGTCTCTCTGTCTCTCTGTCTCTCTGTCTCTCTGTCTCTCTGTCTCTTATATATTTGTTTTATCTTGTTTACTCACCTCTGACCCTACATTAAGACTACAAATAGTTTAAGGTAAGTAGTAAGTGAACTGTACAGTGGACCTTCGACCAACGATATTAATCCGTTCCTGAGAGCTCATCGTTAGTTGGAATTATCGTTAGTTGAGTTAATTTTCCCCATAAGAAATAATGGAAATCAAATTAATCCGTTCCTGACACTTGAGGAGTAAAGTTCTTTTCCGGGGTTACTTCCCTTCTTCTTTTAATGCCACTAGGACCAGCTTGAGAATCACTGGACCTCTGTTGCACAACATATCTGTCCATAGAGCTCTGTACCTCCTGTTCCTTTAAGATTTGTCTAAAATGGGCCATAACATGGTCATTATAATAGTCACCAGCACGGCTTGCAATAGCTGTGTTAGGGTGATTTTCATCCATAAAGGTTTGCAGTTCAACCCACTTTGCACACATTTCCTTAATCTTTGAAGTAGGCACAATGGATTCCACAACTGGCATAGGTGTCTCAGGGTTAGCCCCACACCCTTCAAAATCTTTCTTAATTTCCATGCTAATTCTCGCCCTTTTTATCACAGGGTTGGCACTAGAAGCTTTCTTGGGGTGCATGGTGACTTATTTTGCAGGTGCAATCGCTAAAAACACTGTGATAATATGAAATGTTCTGATTGTATGTTTGGATGCGACCACGGTGGCTGGCTTGTAAACACTGGCACCCATGGGACAAGTGAGGCGCGCTCAGGCCACACGTGGATGCGTCTCGAACGGAACGAATCGAGTTGGTTGAGTTTTTTAGCGCTAGTCGAGGCAAAATTTTTGCGTTAAAATGTATCGCTAGTCGGATTTAACGTTATACGATGCCATCGTTGGTCGAGGGTCCACTGTATATGCATTTTATCGCTCTGGGACACTTAAATGTCATAGAATACATGCTATGTGTGGGTGGGGTGGCCTGGTATGGTAGCCTGGCTGGCTACCATACATACCACACTTGATTTCTTACAATAAATACTGCTCATCTCACCCTAGATTAAGACTACAAATACAGTATTGTAAGGTAAGTAATGAATGTACTGTATGTGTATTTTACTTTTTTATTGTTTTTTAATGCTGACTTAATATATGTTAGTGTAAACTTGTTATCTAGTATTTATATGCATTTATAAGTGGAAGAAAAGGGTGTTCCGCTCTACACCAATTCCTGCTTTACGGCGGTAACCTGGAACCTAACCTGCCGTATAAGTGGGGCCCTACCATATATACACATGTGAAATTACTGTTAAAATTTACACATATCAAGCTCAACATTTTCTAAACCCATCTTGTAAAACATCTCTATTAATCAAGCCATGGGCTTGATTAATAGAGATGTTTTGCTGTTCATATCTCAAGATGCATTAATAACTTTTTAGGAGGTATCCGAGATGTCTGGAACTTTCAGGGTATTTGACTCTGCATGTGTTCCAGTATGTGTTCTTCTTTATAATTACTGAGTTTATAGTCTGCCTTTGTGTTGTGTTGGTATAGCAATGTTAAGAGATCTCTATCACTGTCTTGTGGAGCTGTGGTAATGTCCGTCTGTCTGTATTTAGTGTGTTAATTTGTCTGGAGGTAATCCCTGATGAATCAAAATTTCAGGGTATGTGAATGTGTATCAGTTCTAGTTTGGGTTGTATACGTACTTCCTGAGAGTATTGTCTGTGGTGTCTGTGTCTGTGTTGGTGACACAGCGCAATGAGTTTTTGCTGGTGTTATGTGCCCAGATTGCAATGCCGAGGAGTTTTTGTGTGACGTCACCCGGTGTGTATCCAATAGCAAGAAGTGTGATGGGAACCAAGACTGTCAGGATGGAGCAGATGAGATGGGATGTGATACAAGTGAGTACAGTATTGCCACAATAATCTTCATAAGTGTTTCATCAAAAATAATTGAAAATAATCAAGTTAATTAGAATAATAAGTAAGTAAATAAGTTAGTTTTTATTAAAGTTTTGTGCACACAAAAGACAAACATTTGCTTTTGAGTCTGTTGAGGGCACACAGGTGTTATGAAGATGTAAAAAGCACACTATGTATATTTAAGCTAGGATTACCTGATCAAGTCAAGCTTTTAACTTACTACCCATGATTAAATTCTGTTGCTAGTATCATTGACTTATAATATATTTGGAGCAAATATAACATTGTCCTGCTAGTTCCACACCCTGTTTGCTGGTACAGGTGTCCATTGCAACAAAATCTGCTCGTGTACATATCCTACTGGGACACTGTTACCCATGTTGTACTGTGTGGACTGTTACCCATGATGTACTGTGTAGACCTGCAAGAACCAACTTTTTTATCCCAGGTCTGATGAGGTGGTAGATGACCCCCAACATTTGAGCTGAAACCTAGAATGGCACCCAATGGCATATTTGAATGTTGTTGGTGCATGTGTGGAAAGAGTTGGTATGGCCCTACTGGATGTCTGTGGTTCTTAAGTTGAGATGGATGGCAGTGGTTTTTAGGTTGAGGTGTTGAGGTGGATGTCTTTGGTTCTTGGGTTGAGGTGGATGTCTGTGGTTCTTGGGTTGAGGTGGATGTCTGTGGTTCTTGGGTTGAGGTAGATGTCTGTGGTTCTTGGGTTGAGGTGGATGTCTGTGGTTCTTAGGTTGAGGTGGATGTCTGTGGTTCTTGGGTTGAGGTGGATGTCTGTAGTTCTTGGGTTGAGGTGGATGTCTGTGGTTCTTAGGTTGAGGTGGATGTCTGTGGTTCTTGGGTTGAGGTGGATGTCTGTGGTTCTTGGGTTGAGGTGGATGTCTGTGGTTCTTGGGTTGAGGTGGAAGTCTGTGGTTCTTGGGTTGAGGTGGATGGCAGTGGTTCTTGGGTTGAGGTGGATGTCTGTGGTTCTTGGGTTGAGGTGAATGGCAGTGGTTCATGGGCTGAGGTAGATGGCTGTGGTTCTTGGGTTGAGGTGGATGGCTGTGGTTCTTGGGCTGAGGTAGATGGCTGTGGTTCTTGGGTTGAGGTAGATGGCTGTGGTTCTTGGGTTAAGGTAGATGGCTGTGGTTCTTAGATTGAGGTAGATGGCTGTAGTTTTTGGACTGAGGTGGATGACTGTGGTTTTTGGGGTGAAGTAGATGGCTGCGGTTCTTGGGGTGAGGTAGATATCTGTGGTTCTTGGGCTGAGGTAGACATCTGGTTCTGCAGGGAAATTTCTTGTGGCAGTGTGGTTAGCAGATGCATTTTCCCTACTAGATTTGATATGCCACCAAGTGTTTACATCTGCTAAACCATCCAGAAATAAACAAGCACTTTTTTCACACTTACTGCTCATACACTGTTTTATAGTATAATAGGGCTTTCTCCTTGATCTTAAGGGCACAAGTGGAGCACCTTTCTTTGCTTTCTGCTCACTCAACACATTCATTAACTTTTCCGTCTTATTTTGCTATGCTTTAGCTCTGTGACATCCTTTTCAGCATTCTACAATCTGGGTTACTCATTGCATAAGTTCTAATCTTTATCTCATTTTGTTGATTTGAACAAATTGTTGATTTTCTAACACCAAAGGCATGTGCTATCTCTTATACATGTGTGCCATCTTTAATCATATCTGCTGTCTTTAATTTGTTCAACACAGGCATAGTTTTGAACTTAAATGCCTTCTTGGGCCCTTCAGGATCACTGGTATTGCTTTTTGGTGCCTATTTAATATCCAGAGATGAGATGGGGGATGAAAAGTTTGAAAAATGGGGAGTGATAAACATGAGAGTGTATGGTTTTTTAAGTGTTACACTAACCACATGGGTTAGTGTTTACATTAAAACGGTGAGCACGGCTTACGTGCGGAAATATCCCACACTGGAACAAAATTTCAGTAGCTTTAATAAATGTGACTTGAAGAAGCACAATGTGAGATTCTGTTATATAATAATATGTTAACTAAAGAGAGAGTTATTTTAATTTTAAAGGGAAGAATTTTTATAGGGTAAGCAGTGTTTACCTCACTGCTTGTGAATACATGTCACTGCAAGTAGGTAATTGGCTACTAAAAGCAGTAAAGAGTTTTTATTGAGAAAGTGAAGCTCAGTTTAGTGTTCGTAGGAAAAGTTTTTTTTTTTCAGTAAAAGTACATAGTCCTAAAACAGGAATATGTGATATTACCATGTTTGTTAAATATTCAGTATTCATAGATGGGGTTGTAAAAGAAGTGAATGCTTCAGTATTAGGAGTGGTGTTGGCAGGGAGAAACTGAAAAATTTGGGCATTCCAGGTAGGCTTATATTTTGGCACCCTTCCAGATTGGTATCAGTTTTCTTTAAAACGTTCGCTCAGCAGTTCTATAGTGGAGGCAGATGAAACTAATTGTCTGTTAGGCCTAGTAAAGATGAAAAGTATACCTCTTATTATATTTTCATGCACTAAATACACTATAGCATTGTAATTTATCACACATGAAATTATTAGTAGTGTATTTTAAAGGTTCTTTTATTTTCTGGCTATCTAGCCCTTGTGGTTTAGTGCTTCTTTTTGATTATAATAATAATAATTTCTGGCTATCTTGGTTTTTGTGTCCCATGTAAGTCAGTGCCCTGGGCAGATACTTGGCTGGCCCACCCCTTAATCCAGTCTTGGGTGTGGAATTGAAAGAAAATAAATCTAATATAACTTGGAGTGTCACAGCTATTCTTTGCCAATTACAGTTTTTTGGGGGGAGATTCTGGGGAAATTGCAAACCTTGGTTGAGATATTTCGGGGTGTATGTAAAAGAACAAAATTGAAAGTGAACATGGGAAAGGGCAAGGTGAGGAGAGTAACAAGAATAATTTATGTAGTAAGTATTGGATATTGGATAAGAGGGTGGAAATGTGAAAGAAGTAAATTTATATAAAAATTTGGATGGCTCTAGGAAAGATAAAAAGAACCATAGAATGGAGGAGGGGGGAAAAAAAGATGTGATGTTTTGTGCTGGGGCATCTGTGGGAAAAAAAGTTTATGGAGGCAAATGGAGGAATGTACCAGAGTATAGTGGTGCCAAGACTGCTATATGAATTTAAGATATTGTCTTTAAATATTGCAGTAAGAAGGTGAGTGCATGTGTATTAAACAATCCTTGAAAAGCATCCGTTTCTTGAATTCCAGTTTTACATGTGCCAGTTTCTAAAGAGCTTTTTATACTCTGCATATACTGTACTCTATAGTTCCAGACCTAAAAGGTGTGTGACATATTTGGAATAGTGTACTTCTTGAGTGTTTTTTCTGCATCCATGTTAGTTACCATGTCTGTATTGGTATAACAACCCAGTGAATCTTGCTGGTGTGATTTGCACAGGTTGCGCTCCTAGCACATTTTTGTGTGATTACATTCGGTGTATTCCTGAAGAAAAGAAGTGTGATGGGTTCCTGGATTGTATGGATAACACAGATGAGGAGGAGTGTAAGCCATGTGAGTAAATACTGTAAAACCATGGCTATATGTTTGTTGCTTTCTTCATCAGTGGCATCATTCCAGATATAAAGTTGCTCAAATAAGCCTTCATATTTTCAAGACTCTACTCCCTCAGTATCTATGAAAAGTTTGCAGATAGGGAATTCATAGAAGTTGAGTTTTCATTTGAGTGGGAAAAGGGTGAAGATGCATCCCAGACCCCTGTGGCTCTAGTACCCAGACACAATATTTGAACATTTTGTGCTATTTTGGGTTAGTCAATATGCAACTAGGTTGTCTAATAAACATGTAAACATATGAGAGCTACAGTTTTGGGAGCAGCGAATGGATCTAGAAGTTAAACTTGTAGATAATGGAACAACACCTTAACTGAGTCGAGTACAGTATGGCCCCCGTATCCATGGGGGGATATGTTCCAAGGACCTGCTGCGGATACCAAAACTGCAGATACAGGGGTCCTACTGTATCTGGGAATCTAGCAGAGGATAAAAGGCATTAAAATATAAAAGGGCACATGAATTGGCATTGTTGAGGATACCAATCTTACAGATCCTGAGGGAGTAGTTTTTACCAATAGTATTACCAATAGTGTTAAAAGGGTAAAAGTATGCTCATAGTGTTTTGTCTTCAGTGTTGAGTTTGTCATCTCATTTCTTAAATATTTTAATGTTTAGTTTTTACTACTTCTTGAATCCCATTTCAGCAATCTTGCCACTCTTAACTATGAAAAATACTGCTGTATATATGGCAGTAATTACCTCTTTGTAGGTAAAGGACTAGAGTTATGCTTGTGGTGCCATGTCTTCATTGTTTAGTTAGTCATATAATTTCTGAAATATTCTAGCAATTGTAACATTTACTACCTCCTCTTTTATCCTCTTCCAAATAAAGTACTTTCTAGTGTGACCTTATGTTCTCCCTGTTAATGGAGCCAAAAATGCTTCTGTATCAGTTTTCATGTTATCAGTCAGTATGAACATTTTGAATGTTTACAGTCTTCCTTACTGGCTCGTCCTTTGCAACATGGGGAGCAATTTGTAGCATGTCTCAAGACTTTTTCCATTATATCTTTGTTCCCTATGATTTAAATGCCACATTACTCCCACATGTTCTAATATTGGTCTGGAGTACGTCATAAACAGTTCTTTTTTTCACCATTCCTTTGTTATAAAGTTTGCTGATATAGCATATGGATATATTATTTCATTTGTGATCCTCTGGTGACAATCTTCTATTTGATTACTTGCAAGTCCCTCTATCACATTCCATATTATCTGGCACAATTTTTATTCCTCTTGTGACTTATTGTCACTTTCCTCATTTACACTATAATATTTTTCCTCATTAAATTTCAGTTATCACTTCACATATTTTACTTTTGTAAGTCTCCTTGTATAGGTCAATATCTATATTACGTATTTTGTACAAGATTTTTGCTTCATATACAAATGTGCTCATATGGTTTTTTATTCCTTCTGGCAAATGATCTGTGTAAAATAGAAGCATTGTTGGGACAGCAACTGATACATGTGGGACCCAACTGATAACTTTTTTCTATCAGGACATTTTTCCATTTATCACTTTTCTCTGTCTCAGACAGAATAATCACAACTTTTTTGTAAAAATATACGTAGTTTGACTTTTATTCTGGTGATATTTTGCATTTTCTTTATTAATCTTTCATGGGAAACACCAAATTATTTTTAAAGCTAAATATATCCATACTCTTCATGAGTCTCCCTTTTATTTGATTTCTGTCCATATATAGTGGAATCAACCATTTTTGATGATGCAAGAAATCATGGAAATTTATAGTGGATTGTAATACAGTATATGTATAGAACTCTAGATATTGTGTGCTTAACAAGTGGAGGTTATGTATCATTAATCTTACTAATTATGCTACTAGTTCTTGAAAATTTTTAATTTTGGCATTGATAGTTTCTTGAATGTACCTTAAAGATACATGTAATATGTTTATTTGACAATTTTTGGTTATATGGGTGTAGTACACGACATATGAATGTGTCACATTGTATAGTCCAAGTCAGAGCAGTTGATCCCTTGCTACATGCTAGGTCACACTACATGTGTGCGTATTTTTTTTTATTACTCTTACAAGCACAGTCTTCTCTCTTTTTGTAAAGTGTATACATTTTTTGAGACATGATGTGAAGGAAAAAGCATAACACTGTTCATAATCCTTGACTTATATTAGATTAAGTATAGTGTATAGGAAACCAATTATTAATTTATATACTTTATTTACATTGTTTGAGTAAAGTATTTCTTGGTATTTCTTATACTAAATACAGTGGACCCCCAGTTATCGGCCGTAATCCATTCCAGAAGGTTAGCCAAAATTCTAAATGGCCGAACACCGAATTAATATTTCCCATGAGAAATAGTGTAAATCCAGTTAATCCATTCCAGACACCCAAAAATATTAACAAAAAATGCATTTTTTAAAGAATACCTATAGTTTTACATACAGAAAACAATGAAAAAGAAATATAAAGCAGTAATTTTAATAATAAATGAACATTACATATCTTTATTGAAGACTTTGGTTTACATATCTTTATTGAAGACTTTGGTTTACATATCTTTATTGAAGACTTTGGTTGGCATATGGAAGAAGACGAGGAGGGGAGAGGGAGGAGAGTTTATTGTTTGGAAGGGGAATCCCCCCTCCATAAGGACTTCAGGTATCAAAGCCCTCTGTGGGGTTACTTCCCTTCTTTGTCTTTTACTGCCACAAGGACCAGCTTGAGTCACTGCACCCCTGTAGCACAAAAAATCTGTCCAGAGAGGCCTGTTTCTGGCATCTCTGTAAAATTTGCCTAAAATGGGACAAGACATTGTCATTGAACACATTGCAGACACAGCTTGCAACAGTTTTGTCGGAGTGATAATTCTCCACAAAACTTTGCACCTCACTCCACTTTGTACAAATGTCCTTAATAACTGAAGAAGGCACATTCTTCCCACTCTCTTCCTCTGAAGCAATATTCTCAGCTGCAGTCTGTTGCTGTTCCAGTTGAAGGTGTTGCAGCTCTTCAGTGGTTAGCTCTTTCCTATGGTCCTCCACCAACTCTTCCGCATCCTCACCACTCACATCCAACCCCATGGACTTCCCCAAAGACACAATACATTCCACAACAGGCATAGGGTCATCAGGGTAGCCTCAAACCCTTCAAAATCCTTGTCGAGGACACATTCTGGCCTTTCTGAGCTTTCTTTGGCCCCTTTCTTTCAACATACCAGCCGTATCCCACCGAGGCAGGGTGGCCCAAAAGGAAAAACAAAAGTTTCTTCTTTTATATTTAGTAATATATACAGGAGAAGAGGTTACTAGCCCCTTGCTCTTGGCATTTTAGTCGCTTCTTACGACACGCATGGCTTACGGAGGAAGAATTCTGTTCCACTTCCCCATGGTGGCTTATTTCACAGTTGCAATCAATAAACAAGCACCAAAAACAATGGATGAACATGCGGAGTATTCCTAACCCAATGAGAGAGACTGAGTGTGATACGAGTGAGGAAACGCGTCGCTGGTGGGTGGACGCGTCTCATACCAATGATTTCTGAACGAATGCCCGATATCCAGGGGGAAATTTCGCTGAAAAAAGTGCTCAATTTCTAAATTGGCCAATTTCTGCACCGGCTGATATCCGGGGGTCCACTGTACATTGAGGGAGATGCATCCGAACATAAATTCTCTACATTAGTGACAGATTAAAATATAGTACAGTAAGAGCTGGACGAGATTTTCGTATTATAATCAGTGACAAACATGTACCAATATGTACTAGACATTTATCTCTCACATCTCATGTACTATATATGCCATCTTTATATCAACAATGCATCTCTTAAACCTTTTTGTACCATATGAAATAAAATATACCTATTGGTACAGTAAAAATGTTTTGTAAATTTGTTTATCTGGTTTTGAATATTTTCCTTAGGCATTTGTAAACAAAATTAAATCAGTTATATGTACAGTAAAGTGAGCTGTGTTACATCCTCTGTAAATGTAAGGAGAGTAAATATAATAATACAGTTCATTTTTATGATCAAGCAAAGATGGTGTTGCAGTTAAGCATGTGTTATTGTATGTGAAACTGTTATCACTGTCATGGGTAAGACAAGAAAATGAAATGTTTGTAGTTCTGTATAAATGATTATCTTCTCAGATAGTATAACCTTAATGCATGAAACTTGGGGTTGCAGTCAATTTGCTAGAATATTTTTCTTTGGTCTGGGTAAAAAATACATTCTGGAAGCTTGCTCTGCAGTTTGTTGGACAATGAAGTTTACATCTGTATATGCTGTCAACCTTTAATATAACAGCTACCAACTGTTTTATACTGATGTGATCTTTTTATACTTTCTTTCCTGATATATTTATAGTTATGTTGACTCCTAAAGAACTGATTTAAAACTGTATTTACCATTATTATTTTTTCAGCTGTTTGACCAAATGGGTCTCCAAGATCTTTTTTGTTTTTCCTCCCTAAATATGTTATGGTTATTTGGGCAAGAATCTCTTGTGACTTACTCCAAACAAATGTTTTCAATATCTTTTAAGTAGTTCTTTTAGACTTTACAATAGTGTGTTACAGTATATCAACATCTTGCTCCAAGACCAGACATTTAATGGTTCTGTTTAATCTAGGATAATAAATAGAATAAATACCTTATTTTTTCTGTCAGTTTGTGATCAGTTTAGGCATTTCTTCAAAACCTTACCTATACAGTATTTGATATTTGGATAAATAAAATAGTTAAGATGGGAATAAAAAAATTTAGGCATGGCCACATAATGTAAATGGTGAAATTTGAAAGAAATGAGATTAATGTAATTGGTATATTCAGAATGGGAAAGGATATGGTAAATAGAGGAAAGTAAATACTAATGGTATTTAAACAGAGTTGTATTGTATTCTTATTCAAATGTTTGTATTTCAGTGGTTTCATTTATGTGCCTCTCATATATAAGCACAATACCATACTTTATTAAGAAAATGAATGACTCTGTTCTCCAGCACGTCCCACAGCACGTCCCACAGCACGTCCCACAGCACGTCCCACAGCACGTCCCACAGCACCTCCCACAGCACCTCCCACAGCACCTCCCACAGCACCTCCCACAGTGCCTCCCACAACACCTTCCACAGCACATCCCATATGTGGTTCTGACCAGCAAGGCCCCAACATATGTCGTGATGCAAAAACTTATGCATGCTTCTGTGATGGGGTGCGAGAGTGCCCAGAAGGAGAGGATGAAGATCATTTAAAGTGCGATACCACCGGTAATACAGCACAAAAATGTATTCTCACATTTGGGTGGAAAAGCTGTATTTTAACTTTGCTTTGGCTATTGTTGGAAATTGCTGTTCATCAGGATTAACAAAGTGCTTAATTTTTCTACTGGCTGTTATGGATTTTCTGGCATTGATTCTAATACTAAAATGGATAAAATATTTCTTTTTCAGACACAGAGTTACTTAAGATTCTTATTTAACTTGTGAAGTACTATACTATACTTCATATACTGTGTGTGTGTGTGCATGCATGTACTCACCTAGTTGAGGTTGCAGGGGTCGAGTCCTAGCTCCTGGCCCTGCCTCTTCACTGATCGCTACTAGGTCCTCTCTCTCCCTTCTCCATGAGCTTTAATCATGCCTCGTCTCAAAACCATGTGTAGTTCCTGCCTCTACTATGTCATTTGTGTGTGTGTGTGTGTGATATTAATATTTTAAAAATTATTGGCTGGTATTAGGTACTGTCACTAAATTGTGATTTAATAATGGGTCAAAGTGGCCCTAAACATTTTCCAGTTTTCATTAGCATTTTGTAGGTTATGGTTTAAGCCTAATGTACAGTAATTTGCATATTAATTGAGACAGTGATGAAATTATTATTATAATCAAAAAGAAGCGCTAAGCCACAAGAGCTATACAGCGCTGCAGGGCAGGAAGGAAGCGAGGGCATCAGGTGGCAAAAGGGAGGTGGATGAGTAATAGGTTACGGATAACAGCGGGGCAGTGGATGGTGAAAGGGTAAAGGGCAGCAAGAGACTGAGCTAGAAAGGGCTGAGGGGAGTGCGAAAAGTATCATCAGAGTTTGTGGAGTAAATCAGTGGTTGTCAAGAAGTCAATGAGAGAGTCAGGATTAAAGGAGGGTCCATCTGCAAGAAGGGAAGGTAAAGAGAGAGTAGTAGAACGAAGATGGCGTTGGAGGTAAATTCTGCGTGCTCGTTGATAGAGAGGGCAGTCTAACAGAATGTGGCTAATCGATACTGGAACTTGACACTGCTCAAAGAGAGGAACAGGGTGCCTCTCCATGAGATACCCGTGAGTAAGACGAGTGTGGCCAATGCGAAGGCGGAAGAGAGTGGTCTCCCAACCACGGCACTGTTGACAAGAAGACGGCCAATAACCTATGCTCGGTTTAATAGAATGAAGTTTGTTACCAAGCAGAGTTGACCAACGTTGTTGCCAACGAGTGTGAAGGTGGGTAGCTATTGCAGCAAAATAGTCCAGAAATGGAACACCTCTGTAGGAAATTGGTAGGTCATGTACTGCTGACCGCACAGCAGTGTCTGCCTGTTCATTGCCCTGTACGTTGACATGACCAGGGACCCAACAAAAAATAATATCTTTATGCTTGGTAGAGATACGGCGTAGCCAAAGTTGGATACGGAGAACTAGGGGGTGAGATATATCAAATTTTTGTATAGCCTGTAGAGCACTAAGGGAGTCTGAGACTACCACAAATGATGACACAGGCATAGATGCGATACGAATAAGTGCTGCAAGAATGGCATACAATTCAGCAGTAAAAATGCTAGCCGAAGATAGTAAATGCCCCCGCACGACGCTGTCCGGAAACACTGCTGCGAATCCGACGCCGTCTGAAGACTTAGAGCCATCTGTGTACACAGCGATGGCATGAGAATGGGAGTGGAAGTGATCAAGAAAAAGAGAGCGGGAAGCCACCGTAGGCAGTTGAGCTTTCGAGCTAGGGAGTGAGAAAGAACAGACCCGAACAGCTGGAACTTCCCAGGGGGGTAGGGAAAAGAAGGATGCTACATGAACATATAAAGGTGGTAACTGAAAGGAAGACAAGAGTGAATGTAGGTGAAGAGAAAAGGGACGGAGCAAACGGGCGGCGAACGAATAAAGAATGTCTACTAATATCGGTGACCATTCTATAAATGGAAGGATTGTGGAGATCATGAGAGCGTACATAGTAGCGAAGGCAATGGGCATCACGGCGATCAGACAAGGATGGAACATTCGCTTCTGCATAGAGGCTCTCAACAGGGGAAGAGCGAAAAGCACCAAGGCACAAACGTAATCCTTGGTGATGGATGGGGTTAAGGCTAGAGAGAGTAGCAGAAGAGGCCGCTGAATAAATCTGGTCACCATAATCAAGTTTTGATAAAATGAGGGCTGAATGTAGGCGAAGCAGAGTTCGACGATCAGCTCCCCAGGAAAGATGAGCAAGGGTTTTAAGAAGGTTTAGCCGGCCTTCAGAGAGGTAATGTGAGGTTTCCAGGATAACCTACGGTCAAAGAGAAGGCCTAGAAACCTGACTGTATCACGTTCGGGGATACGGGAGCCATAGAGATACAAAGGATGATTGGAGATGACAGAGCGTCTAGTGAAAGTAATTTGGTGAGTTTGGGTACTGGAAAATTTAAACCCATGCATGGTGGCCCAAGTGGAAACACGGTCGACCGCATGCTGGAGAGAAACTGCAATGAGATGACAGTCAGCGCCTGCACAAGCAATAGCGAAGTCATCAACATAGAGTGATGACCAAATATTGGGTGGAAGAACAGAGGCCAAATCATTTATAGCAAGAAGAAAGTGTTGTGCTTAGAACACATCCCTGAGGGACACCTTCAGCTTGGACGAAGTCCGAGGAAAGAACATTATTGACTCGAACACGGAAATGTCTGTCAGTTAAAAAGTTCTTAGGGAAGGATGGTAGATTGCCTCGGAGGCCTAAGGAGTGGGCCTGAGCCAAAATATTATACCTCCAAGTTGTGTCATATGCCTTCTCAAGGTCAAAAAATGGCAATAACTGAGTGATTATTCGCAAAGGCATTACGAACATATGTATCCAAGCGTAGTAAGGGGTCTATGGTAGAACGGCCCTTACGAAAGCCATATTGACTAGCGGAGAGACTGTTGTGTGTCTCTAAATACCACATTAAATGTCGATTCACGAGACGTTCCATCACTTTGCAAACTGCACTAGTAAGAACGATGGGACGATAGTGGGAGGCATCATGTCCTGTAGTACCCGGTTTGCGGAAAGGGAGAACAATGGCAGATTTCCACAGCTGGGGAAGAACTCCTTGTGCCCAAATAAGATTGAAGAGGTGTAAGAGGACTACAAGGGCTGACTGATGTAAATGTTGTAACATACGAATATGAATGTCGTCAGGCCCAGCTGCCGATGATCGGCAAGCTGAGAGTGTTGCCTCCAGTTCTTGAAGTGTAAAAGGCACATTATACTGTTCTTCTCTGGGAGAAGAAAAGTCCAAGGGTACTAACTCTAAGGCAGACTTTGAGGAAAGAAACGAGGGGCATAGATGGAGCCCTCGGGAAATACCGACCAGATGTGTGCCAAGTTCAATGGCAACGTCGAGAGGGTTTGCTACATCAACACCAGCGACCCGTAGAACAGGAGCCGGGTCAGGAGAGTATTTACCACTCAATTTCCTCACTCTTTTCCAGACTGCACTCATAGAAGAAGCAGAGGTGATGGCGGAAACATAGTCTCGCCAGCAAGTGCGTTTAGTTTCACGGATGGCACGGCGAGCGATCGCACGCTTCTGCTTAAAATCAAGAAGTCTCTCAGCGGTTCTATTGTACTGGTACCTGCCCCATGCAGCGCGTTTCAAACGTACTGCACGAGCACAAGCAGGAGACCACCAAGGCACGCACTTCTGAGAATGCCTGCCTTAGGTTTGGGGTATAGAATGAGAAACTGCGGTATAAACTGACGTCGAGAAGAGGTGTAGGAGCTCATCAATGGAGGATGAAGAAGGAACCTCACTAAAAGCATTGAGTTGCGAGTAAAGGTCCCAATTTGCCCGATCAAATTGCCAGCGAGGGCTACGGAAAGGTGGTGAATAGGAAGGAGAAGTAAGAATGATTGGAAAATGATCGCTGTCATGTAAGTCTGGTAGAACAGACCAGGTGAAGTCTAGTGCAGTGGAGGAAGAGCAGACTGATAGATCGATGCAAGAGAGAGTATGAGTACGAGGATCAAAATGGGTGGGAGTACCCATATTTAAAACATGGAGGGGGTGAGAGGCGAGAAAAGCCTCCAACTGGATGCATCGTGAGTCACAATGAGACCCCCCCCCAGAGGAAATGGTGGGCGTTAAAATCACCAAGTAACAGAAGTGGTGGTGGTAAGGATGAAACTAGAAAGGCAAAATCTGGGATAGAAAATGCTCGAGAAGGAGAGAGATATAAAGAACATATTGTAAACCATTCACTAATTCCCAACTGCCAAATTCCCAGCCACCAAATTCCCAGCCGCCAAATCATATTTAAGTTTCCCACCACCTGCGAGTCCCTACTACCCTCCCACCGACCCCCACAACTGGCAGCCAGCCCTCCCACCACTGTGTGGTGAGTGTTTTGTTTGTTCATTATTTGCTATTAAACTACAGTATAAATAATGTAAACCCATTCATGACTGCATATTGGAATGGCTATTCGGACAGGTATTAGACGGTGACATCATGTGTTTACTCTTGAACACAGCAAAGAATTAAACATTTCTGCTACTGCTAATAATAACAATAGTAATAATAATAATAAGTATGATATAATTGAAGAAGGAAATTGTATAAAAATACGAGGGAGTGGTTGGCACATCGTCAGTGTGACTTTGTTTATGCTGGAGTGAACATTAGTCTCCCTGCTCTTCCAAACATTTCACAATAATTCATTGTGTTTGGTGCTTGTAGAATGAGTGTGACTGGATTGGTAGAGGCAGTGATTGAGGCAATGGTATTTAATAACATACATGTTAATAATAATACATGCTGTTAATAATATGTACTATTATTATTTATAACATATATGTTATTAAATACATACATGTTAATAATAATACATGTTATTAATAATAACATGTACTATTATTATTTATAACATATATGTTATTAAATACCACTGCCTCAACCGCTGAATTATTGTGAAATGTTTGCAAGAGCAGGGAGACTAATGTTCACTCCAGCATAAACAAAGTCACACTGACGATGTGTCAACCACTCCCT